TAGATCTGCTGTTCTGCTTCCCCCTCATGGTGAATCCTCTCATCCACCACACCTCTGGCCTATGTTAAAATTTTTAAATAAATCTTTAAAAAAAAAATACAACAGAGAGATTGGCTTTTATTATAGCCGTTGAAAAATGGTTTCTACAATCCATCATTAGTCTTGATTTTAGCTTGGATTTTTTTTTTTTGGTTAACTTTACTAGACTCTAATCCCATATTGTTATTTTATTTTTAAAGATATATTTATTTATGCATACAGAACTGGGGTACAGGCCAGAGGTCTGGGGGCGGTGGTGAGAGGATTCACCACAGAGTGGGGAGCAGAACAGGAAGATGGACTGGAGCACACTTCTGAGGGGAGCAGCGGGTGGGTCAGGAGAGGTCTGCTATGCCTGGCCGGGTCAGCTCCCTCGCCGGGGATCGAACCAGTGCTGCAGTGGCTGAGAAGAGCTTCACACCGCTGTGCTTTAACCCGTTGCACTACGAGGGAAGGTCCTCTAATCCCATATTGTTTATTTAGAATTAATCTTGGCGTTTTTCCAGATTTAAGAAATAGTTTTGAATTCCTTGATAAATGAAAAGTCCTTATGAGAGGGAATTAATTTATAATCACCAATATGTAAAGATCTAGACTTCACTTTCCATAATCACATAGGATTATGTTCTTTTAAAATGAATTACTTGTTAGAAAATATAAAATGCAATACAGGCGCCATATAAATCAATATAATAGAAATAGAAAAAGTTGATAGGTCAACTCTCTTCTCTTTTCCCCAAGATGAAAGGCTGAGAAGTCACAGCCTGAAGACTATAAACAAGAAACTAGGAAAGAAAAACGACAAAAAACACCAAGCAACCCCAGCCCAGGGCCCCCAGCAGGTGCCGCGCAGCCTCACGAGGGCCTGACGAGGGCCATGGCTACCTTCCTCGTAGCTGTGGCTGGCAATCAGCTGGCTGACGTCAGAGCCAGCGCAGAGGGTGTGGGCTCTGGCATCGGCCAGGTGACGCTGGGAGTCTGCACTCTGCCAGCGTCCTCAGCTGCGGTGCAAGGGCGAGACCTGCTGCTCTGTGTGCGTGAAGTGACTAGTGTGCAGGGTGCCTCGGGCCCGGGGCACTGACAGACACTGTCCATGTCCAAGTTTCCCGTAACTGGTAGAGGAAACTGCATAGGCCATCCCTGCGGGGGCCAAGAAGCTGAGAGGCACCATTGACTACTGTTTGTTGTAAGGAATAATGTGGCTGTACAGACTAATGTTAACCCACATTTAATCTGGCATTTAGTCATGAAGTCAGAGCAATCCTGTAGGGTTTGACAGAGCCCAGGTAATAAATGTCCCCTCAGAGGTTTTCCCTGCTGGATCTTTGCCTGATTTTTATTGAAACTTGGTTGAAATCCCTTGGGTGGGTTGTTAGCAGAGATTAGTTACTGTGTATTAAGTATTTTTACTTTGAGCCAAATCTCCTAGCATTTAAATTACATGCAGACTTGTACACACACACACACACACACACAGTATCTAATATATATAAAAATTCCAATTTTAGTTCCCATTTGTATCAGAAGATGGAAGTCCTAGAAATCTTAAAGAGAATATATATGATACCCATCTTGAATTCAGTGGGATAATCAGGGCAAAATTCAAGTGGGATATTTGCCCAAGTACTGAAGAAAAGGACCCTTAGCTCCAACCCCATACAAGGCAGGAGAATGAAGTGACCATTTTACTTGTAGAAAGTGACCAAAGACGAGTGAATTCTGCCTTTCTGCAGACATGTTTACCTATAGTGACTGGGCAGCCAAGCCCCTTGGATCTGTTTTCCTTTAGGGGGAAATTACTAATAAGAATTAGAGGTACCAACATGCCAGTCTGGTGCCATGAAGTCCAGTACAAGATAACCAGACAGCTGAGACCCCTACACTAGATCCTGTTTGTAGGGAAATAACCTCCGAACAAAATCAGGACTCTCTTCAGTTGTAATAGCCAAGTGTTTCTCCCAAACTTATAGATTGTCAAACTTCACCACTACTTAAAAATCTGTAACTCTAGCTGTGGCTATTAGCTCTAGAGTAAAAGTTCCACCTTACAAAGGGTTTAAGACGAATGGTCGGCACACCTTTGCTCTTAGACAACAATTACAAAGAGCCTTAGGATCTGGCTGGTTAAATTAGATAAGTAAATCACCAGTGGTTGGCATGGTTATCTCTAAATGGCAAGAAAAGTCAGTTAACCCAGAGTGGGTCTTGTCTCAGTGCTGAGACGGGGAGTGATTTTTAACCTTTCCTTTTTCTCAAGATTTACTTTCTACCTTGACATCTGTTACTATGCCACGAAGAACAGAAACTACACTCTGGGTCTTTCTTTCAGTGCTGAGTACCAGGCTGACTTCAGTTTTGTGCAAATAACATCTCTGAGCTTCAGATATCTATCTGCTAAGGACAGAGTGAGAGTAGATAACTTCATGCTAAAGTTTTCAACTCCAGAATTCATTTACCTGGTAAAAAGTTATCCAACAATCCACTGCACCAGCAAAGATGCTGCTTTTTCCACCCTGATAACAAAATTTCAAGGTCTCCTGACTACTTGGGTGCATAATCTGATGAGAATACAGAACCAAAGACTTGGGGCAATGTTTAAACATACTGGTGTTTAGGAAAACAAAGCCACTAAGGCAATCTACAATGAGCTAGACAAATTCTTTGGGCAAAATTTAAATTTAGCCACTGTAACGTAAGCCATAGGTAATCTGTTTACAGTTGTAAAGGGTACTTAAAGGCGTATGAAGGAAAGCTCAAAAGATCGCTGTTCCTGGCACAGCCTGATAAATGCCGGGGGCGACTTACCTTGTCAGTTGCATACACGATGTCAAATAGCCCGAGAAGAGTGACAGAGATCCCCACGGCGGGCCCGTTGACCACGGCGATGAGGGGCTTAGGAAAGTCTATAAAGCAGTTTACAAAGTCCCTGCAGAAAAGGAAATACAAAGTGCGCATGAGTGAGCGGCGAGCAGAAATCACGCACCCCCGTCTCGGCTGGGGTGTCTGCACACCCCCGGGGCTGCCCCACGCACCCCTCCCTGGTCCCCAGAGTTGGCGCAGTATGGCACTGGGAGGAGCCGCAGGGAGTCCTGGAGTTTGACCCTGTTCAGATGTGGTGATCTGGGCACTAAGGTGACACTTGGGGGTTAAGATGCTGAAACCTGTCACAGCTCAGGGGAACGAGAGACGAAGCGGATAAGCGGGAGGGTCGCGGAACCTCGTGCTTATGAGCTGCTCCCAGTGCCTGTCACCAGCCACGGGGAAGTCAAGCATTCCTCTGCTGGGGGAGGCCGACCTCCTCTGCCTCAACAGGAGAGGGTTTTCGTACTCTACAGTCTCCTCGTTGCCTTCCACTCACATCTCATGTAGAGGAGCAGGTAAAAAAAGCTAAAGTGATGCAGTGAGTGTCCAGTTACTGATGCAGTTTGGAGAAACACACTGTCCAGAGTCACCCCAATTAGATTGCCATAGAAGTATTTTATTAATCTACTTTAAATAAGTATTTTACTTATTTATGCATACAAGAACTGTGGAGTAGGCCAGAAGTGCAGGGGGGTGGGGGTGAGAAGACTCACCAGAGACAAAGTGGGGAACAGAACAGGTGGATCCACTGAAATACACTGCTGAGGGGAGCAGCGGGTGAGACAAGAGGGGTTTTCTGTGCTATGTGGGTCACTCCTGGCTGGGGATGGAACTCATGCTCCAGATAGCTTCGTAGTGCTGAGACTTAACCTTTTGAGCCACCAGGGAGGCCCCATAGACTTATTTTATTTCAATTTTGCTCAACTAAACACCCCTTTGATGACTAGTAAGAGCCGTCCGGGATCAGAACAGTGTCCCACTTACCTCAGTAAAACGGCACTATCTTTAGCCTTCTGCTCTACTCCACCAGGGGGAATATCGGTGAAGTTAGTCAGATCGTTTCCACTACAGTAGTAATCACCGTTTCCTGTAAATAAGATAAATGAACATGTCACTGTGTATTTATGGCTAGTGCCTATTTGCTTTGTGCCAGGCTCTGTGGCAAGCACTGGAAAAATCGGTGCTTCCTGCCCTCTTTTATAGGCTGCTGAACATGCTCAACACTGATCTAAAACACATAAATAGGGCCCTCCCCGGTGGCGCACCCGGTTAAAGCACAGCACGGCAAAGCCAGCCACCGCCACTGCAGCACGAGTTCGATCCCCACGTCCCTGGCCTGCCTCTCCCTGGACTTCTCATGCTGGGCAACACTTTTCCATATGGGAAGCAGAGGTTGCTCACAAGTACTAAGAAACAAAGCTAAGGTTTAGCTCCAGCTGACCGAGTCTAAGCCTCAGCATTAACCACGACACACAGCCCCTTGCAAATCAATGAGTTTCATTTTTCATGTTCTCAATGACCCAGGCCCATAGCATCATCCACAGTATTTTCTAGTTAGAACCAAAACTACTGCAATTTTTAGGTTGAACAATACATATTGAACATTTTCAGTATGTGTTGACAACTACAATTGTTCCTGCGTGTGCACTAGGAAAGAGGGTGGGCAGGCTACGATTTGGTTCAGCATTCTCTCATGGCAGTGTAGTTAGGATGTTTTCACAACTATATGTAATGCTGCAAAAGCTTGCTTAAGCTTCCCCTTTCTTAGCTGATCTCCCGAAAAAAATTCCCAGAAGTACGATACGATTCCTGTACCATAGGATATGAACATTTTATACACTGCAGAATGCCCTGGTACCTCCTCGCACTTCTTACAGCCATTGAGCCTTTCAGCAAGACAGAAGAGGCACGCTTACGTCAACACTGCCCAAATTGGTTATAATGAGAACGTGGCCATTTTACAGTATAAAAATAGAATCTCATCATTTTAATAGAATTTCATCACTGTATTTATGAGTATTAACGAGACTGTACTTTTCGTATTTGTCTTCTATCTGAACTTTCTCAGGTCAACTGTCCATTTAGTTTTAGTCACTGCTGTATCTGACAGATCTTTAGAACATTTTTTTAAACTGAGGAATCACTGATTTACAGAATCGTTTGATTTGGGGGGATACCTTGGTTGTTCTTCAGATCTGTGTGACCACATCACCCCCACCCCCAAGGTGCCCACAGTTTTGTTTTTCTTTAAGCAACATCACATAACACTAAATATGTTCCAAGTGTGTACCCCTAATTTAGTATTTTTCTCACCAATTTGTATCTACTTTTTACATGATAACAGTGTCAATCCTGTGTCTATCATATTTGCTATATATACTTAACAATAAAGAATCCTTCAGTCCTGGCAAAGATTTAGAACTTTCTTACTAATCTCCCATCAAGCAGGGAACCCCCCAAGATAGAAACGCCATTAAATGGTCCAAGAAAATGTCTTACCTGTTAAGACAGTCAAGGCTGAGTCATCCTTGCTGGCAGCCTGCAGCGCAAGTATGATCTCATGATACATCTAGGGGAGGGAGAGAGGAACAGGGCTCTGACCGCGGGCATCTCGCTCGGTGGCCCCTCTGGGGACAGTCTGCGAGCCTGCTCTCTGCTAGGCGCCAAACGTCCGGGCTGTCTGGGTCAATATCACTGCAAGGTTGCCATGCCCCGCGACAGGATTTCGCTCTCATTCCATTAGTGATGTGTGTTGTGTCCCTATGACATGTTAAAATACGTGCAGGGCCATGCCCACTTTTCTCCAGGAGTAAACCAAAGAGGCAGAGCCTCTGGAATTGGGAGGGGGAAAGCTCTAAGCTAGGTGGCAAGTATAAAGTGGCAGAACAGAGGAAGCACTGAGACTTAACCAGGGAGACAGAGAGGTGACCTGAGAAAGTGTCCCATGCAATGCTGTTTCGGTTGGGACCTTACGAGACAGCGTGGGTGCTGGGGCTGGCTGGGAGGTGTTCACGACGTGAGTGAAAGGCAGGGATTTCCAGGGCAGTATTTGAAATCTGACATCTCTGAGAAACGTGGCTGTGTGGACATTACAACTCCTGGTGGATGTAAAATTTGTGACACTTCTACCTTACTGAGATTTCCATGTAGGAAAAGGAAAGGTTTGCACCAAGCGCTTTAATTACAGAGCGGCACATGTCCCACTGCCTCACGGCTATTGTAAGTTGAACGCACTTTCTGCTTTGATGTAGATAACAAACCCAGTGGAAGTGGGCTGCTCTCAGATTTTGAGCCCAGTTCAACACCAAGCATCCAGTTCATTCTCTATAATTTTTTCCAAGGGGAAAGAGCTCAAGCGGTCACTTTTTATTATCATTCTAGTTCAATGGCAGAGCGAAGTCTGAGGTGTCCTTGTGAAGCAACTCTGCTGTTTAATCTCTGCTCTGTTAGATCCACTTCTTCCTATTTCTTCTACAAACCACAGCTCTCCACAAGGAGAACAGAGTCTAAGGCATGTGAAGATACTTTGGGGACCTGTGCCCTGGCAGGCTGGGTGGTGGGCGGCTGGGAGCACACCTCTAGGCGTGTCCTTACGTCATGTATGCCCAGTTACACTCGTTCATTTGTGCTTCCCTCATCAGGAAAGTCACACCTCTCAACAATGACAGACAGCATATATTGTAGGAAGAAGCCACCATAATTCACCCCCCTGCACAAATCAAACCAGAGACAGCACAACAACAGGAATGACGTGAAATGCCCATTTCTGAGTGTGACAGAGGAGGTCAAGGAAAAGAGGACAAAGTCCCTGGACAGGAAGAGTCACCTTGGTGGTGATGGCGTTCTTCTTGGCCGGCCGGTTCAGCACGATCTTTGTGATGCCGTCGTCCGAGGTCACCACCAGGGTTTCATAGGTCCCTTGCTGACTCTCTGCGCCAGGCTTTACCTGGCTAGTGGACTCAGAGGACCTCAAACTGGACACCAAATCCACATAGTTCTGCCTGGCAGTTTCCTGAAGAGAAGATGACAACTAGTTTCAGCCGGCGATCAACAAGCATTTGAGAAACGTGCAATGCTGACAAACAGCATCTTACAATGAAGAATGGCTCAACAGAGCACGTCACCATCTCAAAGCTCTGCACCCACAATGGCTCCTCAAGGAGAAGCACCCAGTTTGTGCTCGGGCAACAGCCAGTCAAACAGGAGCAAAGTGAGAAGGACGCTTACCTTGGACACGTTGCCCAGGCCACTCCATGCGTCCCACTTGGCCTTATTGACGAAGTCGAACACCCCTGGCTTGGGCACATTACAAGGACCCTCGGTGGCCTGTGAAAAGGGGGTGGCTATGGTCAGATACTCATGCCAAGTGGAGCCATAAATAAATCGCACAACTAGATGAATGTGTCCTCCCACCTCCCAATCCTGGGACAAGTTACATAAATCTAGGTGAACTTTCCCCTCTCCCTCTGAGGCTCCTGCTAAAACATGTACAAACAACTGGGAAAAGGCCTGGAAGAGACAATGTGTGCTCTCGACCATCGGTCCCTGTGTTTTTACTGCGCAAATGTAAAAATAATGCAAGAGGAGGGTTTTGGGGAAAGCACTTTTTAAAAAAATTCTAATAGCTCAGTGATTTTCTATGACTGATCACATTTTCATAGACAAGCAAAATATTCAAGCAAACTAACTTCAGAGGTAACTAGTTGAGCAACATTTGGAAACTCACAATATATGCTGAAAGCTCATTCAAAGATTAAAACCATCCCCCTCATTTAGTGGTAAATTTTCAGAAATGGAGTAACAGAGCTGTGAGGGGAAGCCGTGGGAGCGACAGTCAGACCCACCAGCCCTTCCAGAACAGAGTGAAAGACATACAAGAAGAAAGCAAAAGGCACCTCAGTTTTTTTGTTGTTGCTCAGGGTGAATGGAGTGAGTGTTTTGAGACGAAAAAAAAAAAAAATGACCAATATCAGCTGCTTTTTAGACATGGCTATTTGAAACTCCGTTTAATAACCCTATTAAAATTGTAGTTAACTAAAAGAAGCAAGAAGAAAGAGGCTTTGGAAAGCCAGGAAGCAAAGCAGGATAAGATTTTACAGGACAGACAGCTAGGTGTCACCCTGCAAGCATCAGCCACCTGAGAAACTTAGAGGCCACACAGCCAACAAGATTTCGCCTACTTCTGATGCCAGGCGCCAAGGTGGGGGGCTCCTGAGACCACCCTCAGGTTCAGTAATCTGCTAGGATGACTTGCAGAACTCACTGGGAGATATTACGGTAGCCTACGGCCTCCTGGGGAAAGCGTACACACTGACAGTGAGGGAGGAGACACGCCAGGGGCCTGGGGAAGCACCCTCACACCCCCGTCAGTCAGGACAACTCATCTCCCCCAGAACTGACTTCACACACACAGAGGACAGGTCCGTTAGGGGAGCTCACGCAAACCTCGGTGTCCCTCGGGGGCTCCATCCCGCAGGTACGGACGATTGTGAGAGCGAGAGGCCCCACCCTAGTTCACGACTCCGAGGTGTGAGTCCCACTCTAGCTCCACTGTCAGACTATGCAGGTAAACAAAAACTTCCATGGCGCTTCGTGGGCCCAGAGATCAACTCCCACAAGCCAGGAGCAAAGGTCAGGCCTTTTTTACAGGCCAAATTAAATTCTTAACTCTCTCCACACCCACAGGAAAGAGGCGTGCAGGAGGCCAGAACTGACTTTGCCAGGAAATATCTGGACGCTGCAAGTTAAAAACTTAAGTTCAGACTCACACCAAAGCAGACCATTGTCTGGGATTTTTAATACTCATCATCAAGATCAAGAACTTTGTTTTTTCTTGCTATTATTGCTACCTCCCCCATCCTCTTCTCTCTTTTCTGTTTAATTATCTTAGTAAATCCCAACCCCACTCGACTTTACCTCTGCACATTTAACAGGCACCGAAGGAGAATCAACATGTTCTTATGCAAACATGACTCCATGAGCACCAGCTCCTTTTTCGGTGTCACCCAGGACTCTGCATTCAAGCTTCCCCAGTTGCCGGAAAAGCACTGAGTCTCAATTCATTTACTCTAGTCAGCACTCAGACAAGGCCTACGCATCTGGTTGGGGTATCTTTTAAGTCTTTTACTCTGGAGTGATCCTGAAGGGTTACCTTTTGCCTTACCAGTACAGGCTTCCCCTTTTACTCAAAAGTGGTGTTTTTCTGAAAACGTTCTTAAGCCCAAACGGCATAAAGTAAAAAAATAATTACCTTTCATTTATACGGAAACATTCTGGGGCACTACCAGACCATCCTACAAGTCATCCCAAATAACACCTAAGACCTACGATGGCACACACAGGGAAGAAGCGTTGACATCATAAATACTCAGGCTGTGGAAAGCAGCTCCTGACAGAGGGGCAGAGGCACTCTGAGAAGTGGAAGACAAGTGTACTTCAAAGTCCAGCATACCAACATGCTCCTGGAGACACTTCAGAGGAAAGGTAGCGACACAAACCCAAAACTCTTTAAAGTCATATTTCAGTGAAACATCCAGCATAGTTTGAAGAAGTTACCTGCTCAAAATATCTCTAGGTTCTACTAGACCTCAGACACTTACCTGTTTATAGAGTGCGTAGAGTTTTAGCTTCACTTCATTTCCTGGATCCTTTTTCAAAAGCTTCACCTGACTCATAGCATTTTCAAAGTCCGCCTGAGTGGCCATCATTGCTGTTCCGCTCACGTGCAGCGGGAATGCCTGGGAGCAGGTGACCTGCACAGGGCTGCAAACAGGCAGACTGGTTTCTCGCTGTCAGGCCTTGCACAGAATGTGGTGTTCTCTATAAATATTTTCTCTAACCTCCCCACTCCCTCCCTGTGAGCCGGCTGCAAAGGGTTAGAGGTTTCCAAGATGATTCCCCAGATAAGGTAACTGTAGGAGGCTAAATGGAGTAATTTTTCAGTGATAATCCAACGTGGTATTTGGAGCAACTCAAGTTAAATGTAGGTAAAGAAAAATGATCTAGAAGTGGTGCAAACTTTGCCAGAGGCAAAATTCTTTTATCTGCTTGATAAAAGTTAGAAGCAGGAGATAAGAGACTTCAGGGAGTTAAAATGCACAGAAAGAATTTTAGTCAATTGTGCCCCATGGTCTGTTCCAGAACAGCCTTAGCACTCACAGATGAACAAGGTATAAATTCTTAACCATCAATTCTATCCTCCCGGCTCAGCAAGACATGTGTCCCACATCCATCCCAGTGGGAGAAAGTGTGAAGATACAGGAAATGCTCAGAAGGACGGGGAGCAGGGGCAGGGGTTACAGCAAGAGAGCGCCTCCTTTCTCTGGATTGGGACCAAAGTGGGGTGGGGTGGGGTGAGGGGGAAGCGGGAGGCTGGGTAGCGAAATGTACCTGCTGTGGACACGGTGAAGCTGGGTTAAGCGGAATAGCCCCGCTGCAAGTTGTTAAACCAGCGGGGCAGCAACAAAGCAGAAACAAGATCCAAGCGAGTGAGCAGAAGGGGCAGGGAAACTTCAACTGAGGCACAAAAGAAAAAATAAATGCTCATGACACGACCCTGAATCAAAGTTTAAAGGCATCCAAGAGCGAAATGATTGTTCCAAATAAAGCCGAAATCTAACCAGTCTATCTCCTCTAACACTGCACTTGAGTATGATGAACGCTATATCAAATCTTAAAATGACCCGTGTGGAATTCAAGAAATTCGGTCTTCAATAAATTTTCTATCAGATTATCAAGTGAAAAAGCCTGCCTTTCAGGCGAATTTCGCACTTGGCCAGTTCCAAGTAGAAAATAAAAGGAAAAGTGCTAATGGCTAAAAGTGCACGGTTGCACCCAACCTGGTGGAAACTTACTTATCTCGGAGTTTTTTTAGAATACAAAACACGACCGCTAACCCTATGCCATCCGGAAAATCAGCACCACGTTCCGGGGGTTTTCTCGCTCCCCGTGCGTAGACGCGTTTGGGGGCTTCAGAACCCAGAATTTAACTTTATGTAACAGATGCACTTCCAGAAAGCACACGCCCGAACGCACACGGCTGCTAACGGGCCTGAGGGCGCGATCGCGGTTTGGCAACCCCGTCTGCGCCCCAGGGCACCGGCGGCCGTGTGGGCGGGGCGCAGGCGCGGGAGGCGGCTCCCGACGCGTCCACCGGACGCGCCGGGCCGGGCCGAGGAGGGCGCCCCTTTGCGAAGGACACTGCACGTCACCCTCCCGCGGGCTGAAATGATAACCCCGTGGCTGGCCGAGACGACAAGGCGGGGAAGAAGGGCCCGGGCCTGGCGCCTGGTCAGGACGGCGGCGGCCCGCGGGCGACCTAGCGCGCCCAGCCCAGCGCTCACCTCCGGAACGCGCTCCAGCTCCAGCGCCGCGCCAGCCGCCCCGCCACCCCGGCCATAGCGAGTCCCGGGCATGGGCGGGGCCTGCGAACACGTCTGGCGCTCGGGGGCGGGAGGCGGGGAGGAGCGGGGACGCCATTGGTCGGAATGGAGAAGGGGCGGGGCCTGGGCGGGGCCAGGGGCCCCGGAGAGAGCACAGGGCCGGGCGGGGCGGGGCGTCGTGCTCCCCCGGCGTTCGCGGGGCGGAGACGTGACGACCCGCCGCGACGCTGACTGGGTCCTTGGGCGCCGCGGCGTCTCCCGCCGGGCGAGAGGGCGGCGGCCTGTAACGGACGCCGAAATTCCTGAGGCTACCGGGGACCGGGCGCCCTACGCGGGGTCCCGCCGGCGGTGCTCCCGCGTCCCAGCGCCCAGCTCCGGAGCCACAGCCCGGCGTTTCCGGCGAGAGGTGGGCAACTGCTGAGTGTGGTAAACATCAAACCGCAGGTGTCTCTCAGGCGTTTCCAGCCCGTCTTTCCCGTCAGTTGCCAACTGTGAATTCGTCGGTCTTGGGCTGTCACCTAGTCCAGTGCCGGAGAACGAAACCAGAAAAATCCCCAAACCGGTGCCAAGGCGCCATGACCAAGAAGCCCGGGACGTGGGGTGTCCACTGAGGCGGACACTTGGGGGGCTGCCTATGACGTACCAGGCCGTTATTCGTTCTTTGAGCGACAGAGTAGGGAAGACAGGCAGCCCCATTTTGTCAATGTGGACATTGAGGTCCAGAAAGACTCATGAGGTGACTTGTCCAAAGACCTGAGCAGGGGCAGGTGACCAGTCTTGGGCAACTCAGTGCCCAGCATCTTGGTTCTGGGCGCCCATTGCTGAAGCAGTCAGCTGGGTTCAAGTGTGAAAGCCAGGACAGGCTGCATGTCCCTATAACCTTTCTTAACTCTTTATCGGGGAGTGTTGCAAGCCCAGCGGGAGTCAAGGTCCCGACACTCTCCCCGGCTGCAGGAGCACCGTGGAGGGCATGAAACGTGCTTGTCGGAAATGCAAAGCCACAGAAAGATCCTAGCATGATCAGTGCTTTTTAAAAGTCCCCTGCAAGGTGGATTGTGAAACAGTATATCACGGTCGTGCCAGAAACTGTCATGTTAACAAGTGAAAGCTGGGGCACAGGGAATTGCCTTGAAAAATGCAAAAGAAGCCTGTGTCGAGGGCTTACATGGCGATTGACCAGGGAGCCAGCAGATATGTGCTGAAGAAAAGAATTTGCAAGACTGGTGTATGTCACTATATAACACTACACATTTACCTGTTGTTACACAACAATGAAGAAAAGCTGCGGGCTAGATTGCAAGGCCAGCTGGCTAATGTCCTGCAGAGCAATAGCCTCAAACTCTGTTTTTTTTTTTCACCCACTGGACAAGTCACTTGTCTTGCCACCAGCTGACATTTCCCCAAGGCCTGTTTAAGCTGGCACTGGCACGAGGAGAGGTGGCTGGGAAGCATTTCTTCCTGGCTCCACCTTTGGCCTGCTGAAGCATTGGCAAGCGTCCAGCTGGCATGGCCTTGCGGGTGGGGTGAGGACACTAGTTCTCAGGACGGGGTGAGCAGCGAGATGCCCCACATTCTGTGTGGGGAGAGGGAGAGCCGCTGGAAGTAGAACTGGTGTGCCTGCTTCTCCAGTTCTCCATGCTGTCCTGTAAGCCTGCTGGAGCCTCAGAGTGGGAGGTTTTCTAGTAAGAGAGAAGCAAGGACAGTAGTCAAGCCCTCGCCTGCTCTCTGCTCTGTTGTCTGAGCAGATTCCCCTGGTGTTTATGAAGTTCTCAGAGGGTAACCTTTGACCCAGGTCGTCCCGTGTGGGGACTGAATATAGGGGAGGGCCCTGTCTAGAAGGAGAGTTGATGTTCTGCATGCAGCGAATCCCAGATCTCCAGAGTTGTCACCAGTCACCAGGTGTGAGGGGGCTAAGTGCGTAAGTGTCAATCACAGAGTAGAATCTACCATTTGTGACTCTTGAAAGTCAAAGTGATTATGTATGTGTGTGTGTGTGTGATTTAAGCCATCAGGTATTGTTGAAGCGGGGGAGTCTGTGGCTTGGAGTCTGCTGCTTGCTGGAGCCCAAGTAGTAGCCCTGGCCACCTGGACCCCTTCCCAGACGACAAAGAACACTTACTCTGTGATGCATGGGGTGACGAGTTTCCTCATACAGCCTGCCTAAAACCTGACCACTACTGTAACTTGGGGCTGAGCCTTTGGTAGTGAGCCACCAGTGTGACAATTAAATCTCTCCCTTTCCTCCTCTCCCAGTGCCACCTGATTGCATCGGCAGTGCCAACTAGGAATCTGGAAGCATCCTGGCCTCCTGACTCATTTCTGTAAGTTTCCAAGGCCCAGTGCTCTGTGTTCTAAATATCTCTACATCCCTGCCACCCCTTGCCAATTCCCTCTACCTGTCTTGACTAGGTCCTCCTCAAGGTTTGTGTTACTCTTTCTTTGATCTCTACAGATAGTCCCCAATTTATGATGGTTCTTTGCTAGAGACCAGCCTCAGTAAACAAAGTTGAGGGAAGGGGCCCGGAAGAACCTAGAAATAAAGAAATGACAGACACAGAATAGAGTTTAAGAGAAACGGAACCCAGGAGGACCAAAGCCTCACCCCCTAGTGCCCTGTGCAACTCATCTGTATCTATACAAAGCACCCTGACTTCCTTGTTAGTAGTCAGTGAATCACTTTCTCAGCTTGTGGCCTTCCCCCAGGTGCATTCACTGCCAAGGTCCTGCCTTATCTGGTATGCCCTACTCCCTTTTTAATCTGACCTGTTTCTCCAGCTTAGCTTTGCCCACACAGGAAAGGACGTCATGTCTGGACACGGGCCAGTCTTCCTGCCTGTGTTGGCCCATCTTCCAGGCATGACCCCAACATTCTCCTTGTCTCAGCACTTCTTGCCTTCGGGTTCTCCAACAGGGTGTCTTACCATCTTCAACTTTATGATGGCATTAAAGCAATATACATACAGTAGAAACTAGCCTGTCAATTTTGATCTTTTCAAAAGAGTGATATGTGGCACATCTCTTGTGATGCTGGGCAGTGCAGCTTTGGGCCGGTCACAGGACCACCAGGGGTATGCTACAAATATTGCGGCACCAGCATGCTGTGGATAATGTGTTTTGTGTTCTCACCCATGGAGCCTGCAGAATGCCTGTGTGTTTCCTGCTGTGGTAATGTTACTGAGCCAACGCAGGCCTTAGTTTCCCTCAGCCAAAAAAAAAAAAAAGGAGACAGAGGAAAAGGGAAGTGGTTTGTTGACAAGTAAGGAGGGCAGCAGACTCATGTCCAAAGACCGGTCCTGCTCTTGCGCAGGATGCAGGTTATTTATGCAAAGCTAAACAAAAGGGGGAAGGTGGCCAGGGTCTGCAAAGGGAGGGAGCAGGCCTCAGAACAGTGATGGGGACCGGTGGGTGCCATCTGCTGTTTGACTCCCCATTCCTTGGGAAGCAAGAATGTAAACCTGTCAAACGAGGAAAGAGAAATTGCAAGGAACAGGGAAAGACAAACTTGCTGATGGTTATCTGAGAGACAAACTTGCTGATGGTTATCTGAGACACCAGTCCAGTCACAAAGAAGAAAAAACTTATCAGAGGAGGGGGAAAGACAAACGTGTTAATGCTTATTCACGAGACCAGTCATTTGTATTAGTAAGAAGAGAAAGACAGTTTACTGTTGAGGTGAAACTCGAGGTAATCACCCAACTGTACTCACCTCTTGTGAGCGTCCTGAGCGCATTTGAGCGGGCTGGGCTGGGCTCTGCTGTCTGGTAGGTTAGCTTCTGTACGGCTTTGTGAGCCAGGGGCAGCTTGACTGCGTGGAGCCCAGTCCTCATTAGAGGCTCCTCTGCTCTTAGATTACTGTTACAGCCACTGACCAGCTTTGCTGATTCAGTCCCACCTCCACAGTCCAGCTCTGCTTCCTCACTGATCTCCCCAACTAATACGTCTGATATTACACTTGTCATAATTCTCCCCTTACCTTTCCCAGTGCCCGAAAACCTTGTTGTGGGTCACTACTGCCTTCTGAACAGAGCCAGACGTCTAGGCCTGACCTGTAAGGCCCTCGAGGTTTGGTCCTGGCCCTTCTGCTCTGGCACCTCCAGCCATCGCACACTGGCACCTTGTATTCCAGGTGAAGGCTCAGGCCCTCTGCATCTCCGCCTGCCCGAGTTCTCGCAGCCCCGGAAGTCTGACTGCTTGTGTTCTCTCCTCCTGAGCTCCACTTAGCTCCCGCTTCTACGAGGAGGCTCCCCTTCTCATCACACCCTCGCTGTACACGTTAGTATCAGGATTTGTGCATGACTGTCCCAAGAGGACGCCCTGAGTGGGGCCCTACCCTTTCGGTCACCTCACATCCCATCTCCTGACACTATGATTGACACAGAATATTCTGTGAATGTTTGTTGGATGATGAAAATTTCTCTGTAGGCTGCAGTTTTCCATGGTTGATAACAAGTTGCGAGTGAATTGCTACCTTTGTATTGAGTGATATGAATGGGCTAGAGAAAGTTCTACCGGGGAAATCATGGTATTATTAAGTGTAGATTTCCAGGCAGGGGAGAAATACAGTATGCCACTAGTCATTCAAGGTTACTAGACCACATTCTGTGGTCCGTCACAACCGTTTCCCACTTTACTTCTGTGACAGTGCTGGAGAGTAGTCAAAGTGATGTTGTTTTGGAGTTAGTGCGGGTCCTCGGGTTCACTCAGAAAAGGTGTCCCCAGAGCTCCCCATTCAGCAGCACGCAGCGAGTTCCCAGGCGAGTGTCTCCCTGAGACAGACTCAGTTATATTTAAAGAGCGGGTTTACGAGGAGAAAGGACAGAGGAGTCAAGGACACTCGCATAGGCACAATCCGGCAGGCAGAGCTGCCCCAAAGGGACAGGCTTGCTGAGAGAGACCCGCATGGTGGCAGGGGGCGGCCTGAGGAGAGCGGCCTCCGCTGAGGGAGGTCAGGGCAGAGAAGCCCCGGCAGGGGCAGGTCCCAGGCAGGCAGGCGGCTGCTGCCCTGGGAGGGAGAGAGCGGGTGGGAAGAGGGCACAGGGGGGCAGGACTGCCGCCGGCCAGGGCAGAGGCTGCCCTGACAGGGGCCTTTTCTCTGTGGGAGGGGCTCACTCCTTTGAGGAGGGGCCTGCTTGCTGCTGACTTTGGATAACTGTGGAATCTCACAATGGCCCAATCTGTATCTTCACCCTCAGGTCTGTGCTTCAGCAGTCTGATATCGGAGTCTCTGGCTGGGTTAATGGTCACATTAGCTCCTCCTGCCCCCACCTTGCATGAGTCAGGTTTTAACCTTGTGATGTCTCTTTCAGGTTTTCTAGTCTTCTCCTCCATCATTATTCTTTTCTTCATCAAAACCGGTATGATTTATGGTTACTTTACCAAATTAATCCTCTTTTTCTTTCCTAGTTAAGCTTTATGTCATCTACATAATCATATATCAGTGCCAGAGGTATTAAAAATAATGTTTGGAATATTGTCTGCTTTGGGGTGTCCTTTGTTATTCTCAGTTGTTATGATTTGGAGAAGGCATTTCAGAAGTGAACCCCAATCTCACATATCACCTCTTCCTTAGTGCCTCCATTGTTTGTTCACTCACCCAAGGCTATTTAGTTAATTATTTTAAGATTTATTTATTTATTTATACATACAGACCTGGGCTACAGGCCAGAGGTGTGGAGGGTGAGAAGATTCACCAGAGACAGAGTGGGGAGAAGAACAGAAAGATTGATGAAGTGCACTGCTGAGGGGAGCAGCGGGCAGAGGTCAGGAGAGGTCTGTGGTGCCATGTGGGCCACTTCCTGGCTAGGGATTGAACTCATGCTGGGATAGCTTCATAGTGCTGCACTTTAGCCCTCTGCGACACCAGAGGGGCCCTCCCAAGGCTATTGATTCACATTTATTGTGTATGTTATTCTCTAGTAAGTCTCCCTCAGACATCCCCTTCTGAGATTGATTGGTACTGATAGATATTGTAGAGGAAGTGGCTGTTTTTTTCAGTCATTCCAGTTTATCTTGTTTACACCAAACCTTAAGATCTATCCACATGTAAATAAAAGAATAAGAGCAATGACTACAGTAAATTGCTAGCTGAGGGAGCTTCAAGAAGAGTCAGGTTATTTGTCAGCACATTGTCGTACAAGCTGCACTGACTGCAGGGCTGAGGCAGAGGTGACGACTGCACATGCTGTCCAGCGAAGCTGGCCCAAACTCGCCTTTCTACACAGGGATGAGGGAAACGGAAAGTTCTACTCATAATCACCAAAGTAAGACTGGAAAGACAGTCACCTTGGGGGTCTTCTTAGATTCTGTATCTTGAGAACTCACCTCCTCGCTCAGCCCCGGCCTTGCAGGGCATGAATCTCCATGGACATGCTTAGAACCTGTGAAAAGGGGAGTCTGCTCCCCGCCTATGCCAGCTCTCGGGCTGTGGATAAGGGTCTTCTTCACGGCTAACTTAGTATCAGGTTGTCCACATTTTATGTGTGGGAGTGATTTCACAGTTTAAGATGGCCTCCAGCCTGGCGCTGAAGTGCGGTCTCATTTCTCAGGGCCAGGAGCCTGGGGTGCCTGTGGAGAAAACACACGTGCTAGGCAAGCTTCACTCGGGCCCGAGGGACAGTGCTCTTAGCATGCGTTGGATCGTAATGAATCAGCAATATGCACTAATAAAATGTTTTTAAGCAAAAGCACACAGGACAGGTTGTGTATTGACCTGTCGATGATACAGTTGTGACTAGAGGCTCCCAGGGACCTTCCTGGCCTTTCCCTGGGAGCTGGGCTTCAGTACTAAGTAACGCAGAGTTCTGTGTGACGTCAGAGAATATAACTCCCGTGTGCAGTGAGAATTAACTATGCAAGTAGTGGTCTCAGCTCGGTTCTTCCAAAAGCAGAAGCTAAGACAGAAGTATGTTTGGGATATGATCCCAGTGAGTGTAGGTGGAGGAGTAGGGATAACACAGGAAATAACAGCAACCATAAGGGGGGAATTATCAACAAACAACCTGAGGACAATTGAAGGTCATCTTGAATTCTGGGAGCCAGTGAGTGAGGAGCTGGCTTAGAGTTTCACTCTGTCATGGTCTAAGAACATAATGTCTGAATTCTATTCTTTTAAATTTGTTCAAATTTGTTTTATGCCCAGTGTTGGATCATAAGCTTTAGGAAAAAAGGGCATTTCACTGTTGGGTGCATATTTATTTAGTGTCTGTCACTAATTTTCTCTCTACTTGTTCTGTAGATTACAGAGAGAAGAATGTTGAAGTTACACACAGGATTGCAAATTTGTCTATTTCTCTAGTTCTGTCAGATTAGGTTCTGGTTCTGGACAGTGCATTAAATTTGGTGATTGTGTGGCTCCCTGATGAATTAATTTTTTTAAAAAAAAGATTTATCTAAAGATGCTTTCATAACTGGGGTACAGGCCAGACGTATAGGGGCAGTGAAGTTGTTTGTGAGACAGAGGTCTGGGAGTGAACAGATGTTGAAGGGATCACAGAGAATCTGTCACAAACCCAGGTCCCAAAATGAGCTACCGCTGGAGTTCAGCCAGCTTACTTGTCTTCCTTTTAAAAAAAGCATAATTTAAGCTCCCTCTGAAGTCACCCTCTCTTCTCTCTTTCAAAGCTATCAGAAGGCCCTCCCAGGTGGTGCAAGGGGTTAAGTGTCAGCACCATGGAACGCTCCACAGCCACGAGCTTGATCCCCCGGCCAGGGAGTGACCCACGTGACACAGCAGACCTCTCCCGCCTCCCTGCTGCTCCCCTCAGCAGTATATTTTAGTAGATCCACCTTTTCTGCCCCCCATTGTCCTCAGTGACTCCTCTGCACCTCTGGTCTACACCTCAGTTCTTCTCTGCTAAAATAAATAAGTAAAAGCTTTAAAAAAAAAAAGGTAAAATGTATCTCCAAAATGTCCAATTTCCAGGAGAGTCACAGTGCCTTACATAATCTCTAAAATAAGAGGAATCCACCTTGTAGGATGTCAGAATTTCCTTCCATGTTACTGTGTTTCTCCATTCTTGTGCTGGTGGGCACTTGTGCTGCTGCCGCCTTGTGGCCATTGTGAGTAATGCTGTTGATGGAGGAAAGAATACAAATCCGAAGGAGGTATCACGTGACTGACTCACAAGGAGGTAGAATGGGTAAGCACAGCCATTGACCCAGCCGTGGAAACCAAGATCCTTCGTCCCAATGCCCAGATGACAAAGCACAGGACCCAAGCAGGTATCAGATGCTATAGGGACTGTCAATAGCGCAGACCCAAAGGTAAAGACAAGGAGATTGAGCCCATCTCCAAACTTCTGTCCCTTTCACATACTACAAAGTTTATTCAAAATCAGCAGTGAACCAGGGCTCACAAAGGGCGAGCTACTCCCACAAGAAGTCTCTGTCAGTGCCCCCCTGTGCCCATGCCAGTGCTTCTTCCCACCCGCTCTCCCTCTGCAGGGCAGCAGCCTCCTGCCTGCCCGGGACCTGCCCCTGCCGGGGCTTCTCTGCCCTGACCTCCCTCAGCGGAGGCCGCTCTCCTCAGGCTGCCCCCTGCCACCATGCGGGACTCTGTCAGCAACTCTGTCCCTTTGGGGCAGCTCTGCCTGCCCGATTGTGCCTCTGTGAGTGTCCTTGACTCCTCTGTCCTTTCCCCTAGTAAATCTACACTTTAAATATAACTGAATTTCTGCCTCATGGAGACACTCGCCTGGGAACTGTCTGCGTGCAGCTGAAAGGGGAGTTCTGGTGAGACCTTTCCCAGAGTGAACCTGAGGACCCCACACTCCAAACCCACCAACTCCAAATACAGCTGTTATGAACATAGGTGTAACCTGGCTTTCATTTCTTTTGAATATTTGTGAATCTCTTTCCCAGAAGATAAGATAACATGCAGTAATAAGCAAGGTGAGATTATTTCTGCAAATGTTCTGGGAAAAATTATCTTGGTTTATAAATTGTGTGAGCTGCTTTTTATTTTATACTAGAAAAAAAAAAAAGGCCAGAAAGTAATTGCCTTTCATTGCACCAGCTAAGAGAGTTACAACGAGCACCACAGGTCTATAACTTCTGCCCCAGAGCCAGTCAAAAGGCAGCGCTACCTCCCTGCTGTGGCGGCTGAGCGACCGGCTGAAGAGCACCCCCTGCAGGCAGGGGTTGGAACTGAACTGTAGCTGCCTTTTGCCTATCTCTGCATTTGCTTGGGTATGAAAGGAAATCAAAACCCCTTTGAACCTGGCTCTGACCTCTGTTATTCTGCAGGTGCTTTCTCTTTTCAGTTAAGA